GCGCGGCCAATCACGAGCGGCGGGATCGACTGGGATGGTTTCATAACGGCGCTGTAGGTTGGACCGACACGCGGCTCCTGCACGCCGGGTAGTGGCCTCCCCTTTATTCCACCAGATTCTTGCCAACCTCTGCGTTGCTTGTCGCTCTCTCTTCTTGGACACTACTACTGCCCTCACCGCGCACCTTCTCTCGTTGCCGCATCGTGCGTCGTGCTTCCACCCCTTCTCACACTCGCTTGCAAGCTCCACCGCGTCAACATCCATTGACAACGCGAGCGGATTTGTCGACTTACATTTCTTCCCACCCGTCCGCGTTTCACCAACAGCAGCAGTAACACGTCCGAGGTGAGTCCTGACCAGGCCTGCATGCATCGCCAGCAGCAAACACCGCGTCCGCCTCGCCCTTCGCGACATCGCCGACTCCTCTCGTTCGCTCCTCCACGACCTCCCACCTCACGCGCCGAGCACTCGCCATCGGGAAACAACGCTGACAACACACCCACAGTCTTCCGCACCGCGGTAAATCACACACACAATGGCCTTCAGGTACATCGTGCCGGCTTTGGCCGTTGCAGGCAGCGCGTTCGGTGGGTTTGGACAATTCAGCTGCTGCAACCTCAGCGCAGTACGGCTAACGACGCGCAACAGCACAATGCGGAGAGGAGGGCGCCACCACCACCATCCAGAGCGCTGCCGACGCGACCGGTCTGTCCGGCTGCTCGACCTACTCCGGCAGCATTGCCATCTCCACCAGCACGACCGACAACATTGACTTGGCCGGCATTTCGCGCATCGATGGCTCCCTCATCGCCGACAACGTTACCGGCATTGTGCAGCTGGGTGCTTCCGACCTCGAGGAGATTGGCCAGAATTTCGACCTCAATGGTTTGACAATTCTGTCTACCCTCAGCTTCCCGAGACTGGCCAAGGTTGACACCATCAACTGGATCGCTCTGCCTGCTCTTCAAGGCCTCACCTTCTCGACAACCGGTGTCCAAGAAGTCAACATGCTCCGAATTGACAACACCGAACTCGGATCTCTCGACGGTATCAACCTCCAGGTCGCCGATACCATCTACATCGCCAACAACCGCTTCCTCAACTCTGTCAACATGCAGCTCGGCAACGTCACTGAGGCCATGACCTTCACCAACAACGGTGAGGACCTTGTTGCTGAATTCCCCAACCTGGAGTGGGCCAACAACATCACCATCCGCAACCTGTCCTCCGTGTCCATGCCATCTCTCGCATCTGTGAACGGTTCTCTCGGCTTCTACGGCAACACCTTCGAGAACTTCTCTTCTCCAAACCTCACCAGCGTCGGTGGCTCGCTTGCTTTCGTCAGCAACGACCAGCTCAATAACATCACTCTGCCAGAGTTGACCACTATCAGCGGAGGCTTCCAGATCGCCAACAACACCAACTTGGAGACCATCAACGGCTTCCCTAAGCTCGCCACTGTTGGCGGTGCTCTTGACTTCACTGGATCTTTCTCTGGGTAAGTCCGATCGTTCTGTCAGAGTTCGTTTCACTTGCTAATTTTGCCGCAGTGTCGAGATTCCTGCCCTCGAGGATGTCCGTGGTGCCTTCACTCTCCTGTCCAACCAGGACATCCAGGAGGTGTGCTCCAACTTCCAAGGTCAAGCTGGCAGCGCTAGGGCCATCAAGGGTACTTTCACCTGCAGGGGTAACACAGATCCTAAGGACGGCAGTGCGACCGGCTCTGGCTCTGGCAGCAGTTCTTCGGACAGCGCTGCCAGCCCGCTCCTCATTCCAGGTGCTACTGGTGTCCTCGGTGTTGTCGCTGCCATCTTTGGCCTGCTCTAAGCGCGACGCCCATCGTAACTGGCAAGATTTGTTTTCTGCTTAGAGGCGGCGTTGTAGCGTGGTATCGCTCCTTGGGGCTCATTTGAACAGTTCGGCCTGCATTGCATAGACTAATCGTATCGTTTACGCACCCAAAACATGATACTGCATACACGTCACCACTCTCTCACGACCCGATGACTTGTTTCTTCAGCGAGCATGCGTAGCACGGCACAGAAAAGCAAAAGATGTACCTTGAGAACCCAGGCTGTTGCGAAACGGAACGATGGACGAACTTACAACTAAGAGTAATCGTGGTGGATGGAAAGAAATGATAGCCAGCTATAGACATGGCTGCGCTTGGGTATGGAGTTCGCGCGGTCCAATGTTCAGTGACATCGCAATTGTCCTTTACGGTGCACACGAGTAGATTAATACATGGTTTTTGATTGACACACTACCACCGCCCTTCGTCGTAAGAGAACCAAGAACGACATATTTATGAAACGCTGGATAGAGTTTGTGTCCCTGCAGCTGTCGCCGTTGTCAAAGTGAACTTCACCTCATTCTGGCTACATCACCACTGCATCACACCTCCCGAGAATGACCGTCGACGAAAGACGCTTGAGCCCGGTACTGAACTAGGTGCTCATGCATGATCTCCTGACCAGCGATTCTCAACTACAGCCTACAGTGTTCCCTTGCCGTCCGCCCTTGCAGGACGGCCAGAGGCGCGCGGTAGGAAGCAGCGGGGCATCGTCGCCAGCGCCTGGAAGCAGCGGAAGTGCGGGCTAATGGCGCAAGAGCTGCCCGCTAGGCACCAGCATCCCGGCCAGCGCATCTTCTTCTCGGCGACTTCATGCAATCGATCACATTTCGCAAGCTCGACCAAATTGCCCAGCTCGAAGAACGTCGTTCGGAATGCCATCACCATCAGCTCATCGTGCGTTGTCATGCAAAGCGCCGACCGGAAAGCGCCTGCGACCTTGCTGCCGCTGCATCTACAAGCATTAAAAATTGGTGGCCAGCTGAAGTCGTACAGGACTTGCGCGCGCGTGGACCTGGACCGGACGCGATGGTGCCCACTCGCCTGCCGGCTTGTGCAAGAATTGAATCTTCCCTGCTGACCAAATTTCGACTCTGTCATACGTGAGTGGGACGAGGACGGGGCGCATGTGCAGGTCGGGCTCCGCTCCTGCGCGCACGACAGCAGAGACAGGTATCTCCTTCGGCAGCTCACCTGGCGCTGTGACACCAGGACGTCTTCCTCCAGACTGCCGCGAGACTCGCACAGCATTGGACCCTCGTCGTCGAGCCTTCATAATTCAGCCAAATGCATTGCCGCTAAGCGCGTGGTTGTTCAGAAGCGGAAGGATCACATGCACGCGCATGTCACTACCAGCAGCGACCTGGCACGCGGAAAGCAGCGTGAACGAGGCATGGCTGGGCTGATCCGGGAGAACGATCAGATCATCGCGGGACAGTATCGCCTGAGATCTTTGATCCAGAACCCATTCTCCACATCCAGCGCATCGAAGAGCAGCTGTACCACTGCTTCCGCAGATATGGGGAAGAGACTAGAGCAAGATGGGCACATATCGTTCTTGCGGTGTGCAAGAGCGGCCAGCCTGGCAGATTGTTGGAGCCCCCAACGATGTTGACAGGCTGGGCGCAGCTGAACGACCCGCAAACCATTCTCAATGCACTCGTCTCGGCAAGCAGAGCAGATCAAACTAATCACGGCCCGTGGGAGGATCTTCCGAGACAGCAGCTCTCATCGCTGTTCATGCAAGGTGTTTACGGGGCGACATCGCAACCAATCGTGACTTGAACCGGGTTCTTTCTCCGACAATGCTCTTTCGGTTGCGAGTGAGCGCCTCCTCACTTCCTGTCTCTCTGAATGCGTCACGTCGGTGGGCTCGACCTTACAGCCACATCCTGGTATCTTGCACTACTGTTGTAACTCAGCGTCCGGCCCGTAAAGATGTTCTCCACTTCTGGTCTCGACGACAGCTGTCTGCCGACCCGGATGCGCCTCACAGAATGCTGGACAGCAACAACATGGGTTCGTCATGCAACTTAAATACTGCGTCAGTCTCTTGTCGCTTCACTCATTCGCTGCAACTCCAACAAAGTTCATTCCTGCACACTGTCCTTTGCTCAAGCACGCAAGATTCGTCAACTATTCGATCCAACGCAGACCGACACTTCACCACACCACCTCCCAATATCCCTTGCGGATTCTGCTAGAAGCCATGGCATCCTCTTTCAATCCGTATCTTTCACAACCCAGCGTGTATGTCGTGGCTCACACCATTATTCACTACTCGATCTTAGCTGACCAGTATAGCAACCCTACTCTACCTCCAATAGGATCACTGATGGAGTTGAGAAGCTACTTTCCATGCCACCGTTGTAGCTACAGATTTCCAGACCACAACCAACTTCGCGCGCACGAGGTTCATTGCACGATCGCTCAACCAACACAGCGTACCAGTCGCCATGATTCGATCAACTCCAATCACTCTATCGCCTCTCCGATGGAATGGTCTGACACACGTAAAGCCCCTGCATCATCATGCTCTTCATCGGCTGCTTCAGAGAGTGACCCTTCGGAGATCATGTTCACACCCAATTCTAGCAGAGCGTCTTCGGTCTTTCAACCGCACCATGGATCACGAAGAACCTCCCGTGCAGACGTGAAGGCAATTCGCCGTCAACGTCGGCATTCTCCCGAGTCACTGCTCGACGATCAAGGGAAGAAAATCAAGAAGACCAAGAAAGAGCAGATCAACCGCAGCAACCAAGCTGCGGTCATGTACCGCATGGAGGACATGCTGGAGCAGTACTGTGGCTGGGCCAGGAATGAGCAAAGCGGTGGTAATGGTAACAGTGCCGGGTTGAACGGCAACAAGATCAACGTCCTTCGTGCTCAAGAAGCCATTGCACTCAAAGTTATACACGCTGCCCGTTGCCTTGCCATTCGATCCGGAACTCTGGCGAGCTTCGAGGCAGAGATGCAGAGTGCTGCCGATGCCGCTCTGGAGCCAGATTACAGACCTGGTCACGATACCTTTCTGGAGCTGCCTCCAGGAGAAGTGCCCTGCAGCCACGAAGAAACCAAGTCGAAGAGATGTTCTGCACATGACCATCCTGACTGGCGTGAATGCCGCAAAACCCGTGCGGCGGCGATCATGAGGCGCAACGAAGATGCCTACCTCGCTTCACTTGGTATCACACGCCAACAAGCCCTCTGGGGCTCTCAGCTCGGGTCGTCACAGCTCAGAGCTACCGCACCCACGCGTCGTCCATCAACACTGAACAACCTAGCGTCACGAACATCGAGCCTTCACATTAACGGTAGCGCTCAGCAGCCCAGCACTTCCTTCCGCCGCTGAGGCCCGTGCGGCGAACAATCTGTGACACATTCATTTTGGGCGGATTCAATCAAGCGATTTACATTTCATGGGAGGCTAGCAAGCGTGGGAGGTTCCTTTGCGGATCTCGAAACAAAAAAGTCATCACTTTTCTCGGCGCTGATACCCTTGGGCGGCAAGCTGCATTACGCATGTATTCATTAGCATTTCGAACTTGTCCTCGGTTGGGAGCGTGGGATGGTACAGCACAGTTTTTTGGACAGGTCACAAAGTATATACGACGATGATGGGTTGGGCAAAGCAGGATTAATTCATGTATCATAGGAAGGAGCTATTGGAGGACATATTTCACGATGATCACGACAGACGATGACGAAGACGAAGACGAAGCGACTGTAATTCGGCGGCTGAGAGGAGCCACTTCCGACAGATGAAGGAATCGGATGGGCGTTGTATATGACAGACATCGATACCTCCTAGTCTGGTCGAGTGGATGGCGGGAAAGTTGTTCCTGCAGCGCATGGTCAGGCGAGCAACAGAGTGCTGTCTTGTTTGGCTGGCTGCAGGAACAGCCTACCACGACATTTTCTCACACGCAGCGCGATAATGCGAAAATACCATTTTGTATCTGGTACATGCTTGGGCTCGGTTCCTGATTCTCTTGAATCTCTTCCCTTCCCTGGTTGAATGCTCTGCTTTGCACGTAAGCGAGTTATTATCGATGATGGTACAGTAGTAGCGCCGCCTCTCTGGGCAAAACTATGACAGCGCATCGAACAGAAATGTGATTTGTTCTAGCTTCCTCGCGCGGGGAGAACGAGTGTATCGCCAAAACGAACTGTCGTCTCTCTGCCCTCGTAGGCCAAGAGCACATGCCTATTCGCATCCGAACGCTAGACTAGCATCTTTCTCGTCGGGCCGCGAATTAGTGCGAGCGCTAACTAGGGATTATGTAGCTAGAGGATCTGGTTCTCTGTTCTTTTTGTGTCTTGTGAGCAAGAGAAATCGGTGCGCTCGTGCGGCCGCAGGAGATCCTTCCGATGATGATGTGGGGGCTGTGAGATGCTGTTTTGGGAAGGAGGACGAAGATGTACGATTGCCTCAGGGAATGAATTCGTGGGTTGGTTCTAGAAACACATCGTTGGCTTGGACCTGGTTTCGGGTGTCTTCGCCACGAGGTGAGGAGTTTGGTTCTGTGAAATGTAGAACGGGAATGGACATGCGTCGTTGCGTAGGTACGGTAGGTTCGTGGCATGTCATGCACAAGCGTATGCGGATGCACATGCGGATGACGACTCTGGTTGAGAAAATGTGCTTGAGGTCATGAACTACTGCAGCAATATCATCATCAGACTGGCCCTAGTGGTCGTTTCGCACGCACGCACGCGCGTGGGTGGGAAGTGGGGTCAAGAATCGTTTGTCAGAGGTGGAAGCGGTTCCGAAGTCCGGCTGAAACAAACGAGGTAGAGAAGTGTGAGATCGAGCCCTCTGGAAGAATGAAATGGCTTCCACGCGCGTGGACGTGGACGCCTCATGGCTTGAAGGATGCCGGCACACGGGCCGGTAGTTAGTCTTGAAGGTTTGTGGAGACTTGAAGTGAAGACATCACATCACTCGGCAGTTCCGATGCTGGTGGTGCTCGAGCAGGTCTAGTGACTTTCAGCGATCTCTGCGAAGAGTGTCGAAAGGATGTGATGAGCTCGGTCTGGACCAGATGGGAGCTGACCTCCACGTATCATGTCATTCTTCATTGGGTGGAATTGCGTTCCGTATGAGCCTGGCCGCGTTGATGAGTACAACGGCTGGCTGATGCGGACGTCCGTTTGGTCCTCGCGAGGAGGAAATCCGGGCATGAGAGGCACATGAGAAATGTCTACCTTTTCGTCACGCTACTCAGACGTCTCTCGGAATGAACACATCCAACAAAGAAGCGAAAAAGTGACGAGTTTGAATACGAATTATTCGTTGGTTCCGGGCGCTGATGTTGTGATATCGTGGACACGTTGGTTCTGCGGCTATCCGTTTGGTACAGAGTGCGTGGCCGCGGGATGTGTTACAGAAGATGCCATTGTTCTCTTCTCGTCCAGCCTCGACTAGCCCTGCTCGTGCATTTCCGGACTGCGCACGAGCTGCGGGTACACGCGAGGGACGATCCTTCAGAAGTGTCGGAGCTGATGCTGTGTCTCAGCAGAGCAGACAGATTTTCTTTTGAGCTGTTCTGTGTCATGGGGGACGTCGGTACCGCATATGTGCGCAATCTACTGCATAACGTGGCAGATCAGGCGCGCATGCCCGCATATCAGTCGCTTGGAATTGTGGCTGCGGCTTGCAGCTCGAGCTGTCAATTCTTTTCCCTGTCACTCGGTTCTGCACGAGCCCAGAGCTGGAACAAGGGTCGCTATCGCACTTCCATGGGTACGGCTACAGGGAGCGCACCCAACTCCTGTTCCTGCATTCGCGTTGGGCGCGAACGATATTTCAAATGCGGGTCCGCATCGACTTCGTCTTGCACAATGCGTGGGGGAGAGGACTTGCCGCGCTGACTCTGGTCGCATGTGGGATGTTGCAGGTCTTTGCGCTGATCTTTGTGTAATGGATGAACAGCGGTGCATTGTGCGCGGTCCTAAAAGCTGGCCTGGTGCAAACATTGACGAGCGGCACTCCGCAGGTCGAGAATGAATATGGCGGTGTTCGGAAGCAGAAATATGTCAGCTCAACCGCCTCTTGACGCTGGAACATCGTCCACAGAAGTGCTGTCCGGGTCCTGGGAGGTTCTTCAGCGCTCAGCTGTCTTCTTCACAGAGCTTTGGTCAGCGCATTGTACTGTGTTGTGCCGTATTGTGGTGTCGAGACTGTCGCGACGATCTTGAGAAAAAGACTGTGAGGTACCTGCGATCAAGTGGAGGTCACGAAGTGGAAGTGACGGTGATGCACGACTGCACACGGAAGTGGCCATTCCCGGAAGATCTGAGAAAAAGGCAGGCGCACAGTATTGCTTGCCATGCACTCAATGCAAGCCGGATAGATCGCCGTGCGGTACAAAGGCAGCGCAGCAGCGCTCGGCTTGGAGGGAAGAGTCCGATGTAGTTGAGTTAAATGTATCCTTGCCCAATATGAAGCTGTAATAAAGAGAGCCCACTATCTTCAAGTCCGCCATCAGCTTTCAGCGCTCTCCAGCAGAGTAAGAGAAGAACTCACCTCCGCCCCTCCACGCAGCTCTGGACCTTGCGCCGGACATATATACACCCTACTCTTTCTCTCCTTCAGCGTAGCTGATCATCGAATTCCTCGCCGTGCTGTACCAGGATAGTTCAACTTCAGGCCTTCCACCCATCCCGCTCTGGCACAGAATCTGCTTGTGTGCTCCCTCGCGTCCCCACCGAGGAAAGTTGATAACTTGACGCCCATATTGTACCACTCTGCCTTTCCTTCAGCGCCCTTCATCATAACAAATCGCCGAAAATACATAGACGCCCGTAATCCAACCAGCCGGCGAGGCAAATAAAATCAAAACAGCGACTCCTCAGGCGCCACGCATGCATGATCATTCGCTGCGTCTGAACCTCCAACACTTGGACGAGCTGCGCTTCGCGAGATGCAAAGGGATTTGTCGAGAAAAACGAAGAGGCAGGTCTAACAGTGCTGACAAGAAGACGAGTTGTGTATGGGTGTACACAGTAGAAGAAATCGACATATTAACTTTGCTTTCGTTCATCCTGTTCATGCGTTGCCGGGCTTCTCTTCGGTATCGATGTGCCAGACAACGTAGTTCGGTAGGCCGTAGACGCCATATCCGGCTGCCTTTGCCATCTTTGCGAAACCTTCCGTCTCGGCTTGGTTCTCGAAAGCATAGCAAGGGAAGTTGATGCCTGAGACGCAGTTAGCACAACATTTGCTGAAACTTCCATATTCATGTACATACCAGATCGGTGAACATCAGCTTTCACCAAGATATTGACACCTCCGATACCATCAAGGGGAATCTCAACATCCTTGTTATCCCGCCAGTCGCCCATGCGGGCCATGTACTTGCGGCCAGTGGCGTATTCCTTGTAGCCTGAGACAGCATTAGCGGACCATCACGTGATGAGGCTGAACGGTTCTCAACGCACCTTCAGCGAGCACGACGTCTTTTGGTAGGGACTTGGCCAGCTTAAGGCCCTGTTCTGACTCTTGCCAGGAGTTATAATCAAATCGTCCCTCGATGTCGCGTCCATTCTCGTATCGATGAAACCAGATATCTGCCACCTGTTAGTCCTTTGATCCCGCAGCGTGTCCAGTTCCATCGGACATACTGGGCACAAGAATGTCACGATCATGCGCGACAAAATCCTCAATGATTCTGCTTGGGCTGTCCTTGATGTCCACATCACGCCAGTACACCCAGCTGTGCTCCGGTTTCAAGGCAGCGGACAAGAGGTAATTCCTGGCTTTGCCCATAGCTTTTCTTCGTGGTCCTTGTGCTGCGAAACCATGTCTGTTCTCAACATCTTGACCCACTGCCACGCCAAAGTCCTTGGAGACAATCATTGCACTCCTGAATGGCATGTTGTCTGTCCGCGACTGTATCCTTTCCAGCTCCATGCTCAACACAGCCAACGTATCATCTGTACTATCGCCCACGAGGAATGCCAGATCGATGAGTTTGTGAGGATACGTCAGCTGGGAGAGAAGGTCGAAGTGTTGCTCAATGTACGGAGCAGCGTTCCGTAGAGGTGTCAAAATGAGGACTCGCTCCTCGTTCGCAACAGCTTTCGGCGTCGATTCGATGGGATTCAGATCGACATGTTGTATGCTCGAGCTATTGATCTCAATGGGCTCGTGGTGGTTGAAGATGACTGGTGTCTGCAAATGTCCTGCCCATTGCGCCTGTTCGTTCGGTGACATCTGCATGGGCGATTTTGCCGGACCGAAGCAATAGAACCTGCCACAGCGATTAGCGCCTGCTCGTGGCGTGCGGCGTGTACGCCGTGGGCTGTATCCCCATCGGCTGTTCCCTCACACGTACTTTTGAAAGTCACCAGCTGTCCCCCTAACGCCGTTCCATATTAATATAATTATCCCCGCAATGGCTACGAAGAGCAGAAATCGCGTCCGGGTCAAGAAGTTCCATATCGCTCGGGTGGGAGGGAGTCTTGCGCGCGCACTCTTCCATGTCATGCCACCACCGCCCTTGGGGAGCAGCATCGCGGGCGCTGGAAGCTGAGCGCCTAGCGGCGTCGACACTCCGCGTACGCTGCTGCTTCGCTGTCGGACGGTCGGTTCAGCCACGATGGAGGATGTCAGACGGCACGCTTCGGCTGATGTGGAGAGCGGAGAGGGTGAGATCGGGATGGGAGTGCGAGGGTGAGCGGTGGTCAATGGGTGATGGAGTGTAACGAGCGGCGAGTGGTGCTTCTTGCATGGCCTCCAGAGCACAGTACAGTAGGGGTTCGAGACGATGGGAAAGCGCAGGCACGGGCGTTGTGCTTGGCGCCTTCAGCTTCATTCGCGGCCGTGTCGCCATCGCTCCGCACACAGACACTCAGCTGCACCACGATTACGCATTCTAGAAGCTGCACCACACCCTCCACCCCCGGCTCCACGTCCGCTGATACTCTTGCCATTGCGCAAGGAAATTTCCGCCGCCCTCAGCAGCGCTGATGGTCTGTCACAGATTGAGAAGTAATTCTCCTGCAACGCGTAACACTGCCCAGAAAAGCTTCGATGCGGCCACCGATAGCTCTCCGCGTGTGCAGACGCTGGCGCGGGTGGTTGGGTGGGTACGAAGCCTCCGTGAAAATAGCATCAGAAAAACAACTCGCCACCTGTCATCTCATCATCCATCCGCGCTGACTGTGCTATGCAGCAGCTTGATGTAGGACATCCTCTGGTCGACAAGTTCTTGCAACAAGATTCGCGACAGATGTCGCAGAATATTCAGCCTTTTCGTGGCCTGAGACAAGCCTCATGAAAAAGGCTTGCATCCTTCATTGTCACACGCTGCCAGCAAGCACCCTGAAACGCTCCGCCGTCCTATGTGGTATAAGCAAGCACTGCCAACAGCAGAGCATCGTGGACTCGTCAAGCTGCTGTTCTAGCGCGCCGTTCGCACCGGATTTTTGGCCGGGCTATGACCTTCAACACGATGCTTCTGCTGCAATGCTTAATTGTATCGACGCCGCTTCGTCCATGAAACGAAGATGTATCTCAAGTTCAGGAGCCGGTGTGTTGAGCATCTGCCAACAGCTCTTCGCATGCATCGGGTCTTCTCGGATTGGACTCGTGGCTTTCAGACGGCTGCGTTACCATGAGCCACTTGCCCTCGCTCCATCAAGCCCATAGAGAAGATTGAAGGCCCTCATTCAGGAAGCTAAGAAGCAGGAGAACGACAAGAAAAAGTTTCCCATGACCTCCATCGCATCCCTGCGTTGCCTCGTTCGTGGGTTCCACGGAAGCCGCGATAGACCACGGAAATCTTTGTGATCGCTGTTGACAACACAAAGGTATGAACAGCAAAACAGCCATGCGCACACCAGATTTACACAGTATGAGCATGTCTAGATTCCGCAATTGATACTGATGCTGTCCTCATCCGCCCTATGTATTGTGCGCATAGACGCGGTTGATCGTTTAGCCTGGCGGCATTGACCCATTGCCCCCACTTCACAGTACAGCGTTGCTTAAACCGAGAGTTCTTGACAAGGCACACCCATAGCAACACGGTAAATAAGTAGTCTATTGAATGATCCTTGACCTCTCCTTGACTTCTCTCAAATTCCTGAAGATCATCCTTCTCACAGCACATCTGACTTGAGTAAAGCACATAGCAGATTACCACGCAGACCAATAGACAGGATGGGCAAAACAGAATGGATGGCAAGCCACTCACCACACTATGAATCCAGTGCAGTCAACTGACTGAAATAACTCCAGGTCATAATCCCCGACCACCCCAATTCCCTCGAGACCCGACTCCGCATCAGACCGTGAGTATTCTCTCCTCACACAAGCAACACTATCAGTACCTATATTGAATATTCAATGCTGACGCTAAGTCTCTTCATAGTAACCACCTCGAAGGAATCAAACAAAAGATCCAAGATGGAGTAGTCGTCTTCGGAGGCGCCTCACTCGAGGAACCAACCAAAGAAGGCGAAAGCCCAAAAATGAACGGAAGTGCCTTTCTCGCTGTGGCAGAGACAAAAGAGGAGATTGTGGAGTTGGTGAAGAGCGATGTATACTATAAGCAGGGAGTGTGGAATGCTGAGAAGGTGAGTTTGTCACTAAGTGCTTGCCGAGGCGGTCGCGTATTACCCATGCTGGATTCCTATGCTAATGTGAATATTGAACAGATGCAAATCTTCCCATTCCAGAGCGCCATTAGAATGCCGATGAAGTAGATTAGCTTCGCAGCTCTGCTGTTAAAAAAACATGCCAAGAACAGGAGTATGGACCCCCGATATTTCCTTACAGCTTCGCTTTGACTTGTCCCTCGGATTTCAACATCGCATCTGCAATATTCCTCCGTTGAATCTTGCCAGTCGCAGTCTTTGGCATGACCTTCACGAAAAAGACCTTCTTCGGTACTTTGAATTTGGCCACCTTCTCCTTCATATACTGAACCAGCTCGTCTGCTGACAAGTTCTGTCCTTCCTTCACCACGATGGCAACGCCCACATCTTGTCCGTAAAGGTCGTCCGGAATCGCAAAAGATACCGCCTCGGCAACCTTAGGATTTTGCGCCAAGGTGTTATCCAACTCGATCGGGCTGATCTTCTCGCCTCCTTTGTTGATGAGCTCCTTGATGCGGCCCGTGATGATTACGTATCCGTCCTCGTCGAGATAGCCTTGATCTCCGGTTCGGAAGTAGCCCTCGGGAGTGAAAGCTTCCTGATTGGCTTTTTCGTTGTTGATGTAGCCTTTTGTGACATTGGTGCCTTTGATGGAGATTTCGCCTTGTTGGCCACGAGGAAGTTTCTTGCCTTCGGAGTCGAGGATGACGACCTCGACGCCTTGGCCGATGCCGACGGAGCCCGGCTTGCGTTTTCCTTTGCTGGGAAGTGGGTTGGATGTCATTTGGTGAGAGGCTTCGGTCATGGCGTAGGCTTCTAGAACGGGAGCTTTGAACGCCGCTTCGAGGTCGTGAAAAACCTTGGGGCTAAGAGGGCTGCTGCAGCTGCGAATGAAGCGAATGTTGGGCATTGGGTTGGGCCATGCAGAGGGCGTTTTGAGGAGAATTTGGTGAATCGTTGGGACGGCTGTGTACCAGTTGGCCTTATGGGTCACGAATTGGTTCCAGAATGTGCTGGCGGAGAATGCGCCTGGCACGATGACGGAGCCACCTGAGGCGAGGGGTGCGAGGAAGCCGGCTAAGAGGCCATGAACGTGGAAGAGCGGCATGACAAGCATTGTGCGGTCGGCCGGAGAAAGTTCGTAGGTGTTCTTGATGTTAAGCATGGTTCTAGTCAGGTTGCGGTGGGAGAGAGGAACAGCCTATTTTTCTTGTCAGCGATCTTTCCCTTGCCCGTAGTATCCCAAACGCCATACCTTCGGTCTGCCTGTCGTGCCCGACGTATGTAGCACAAGCGCAGTATCTTCCGGCTGAGCCTTCTCCAATGTGACATTTCCTTTTTCAGCAAGCTTGCCATTGTCCTTAACATCCAACACAATCTCCCCAGTCTTCGCATCTTGATAGCACTCTGCCACAGCAGCGTTATATCTCTTCGCAGCCTTCACCGCAGGCCCATCTGCCTGACCCTGAGGAACCAACACCAGCGCTGATGACAGGTCATCGATGTAGAACTCGAATTCGCTCTGCTTGTACGCCGGATTCAAAGGCGCGGCAATCCCTCTCTGCCACGCCGAAGCCAGGAATGAAACAATGAAGGCATAATTATTCGGAATCGCAATCGAAACAGCAGCACCAGGCGTAATCCCTAACTTCGCAAGCTTCTTCTGAAAAGACAAGACATCGGCGTAGAGCTTCGAATAGCTGATCTCTTGAACGGGTGGTCCGGGCACCACAACGGCCGTCGCGGTGGACGTGCTGGAAAAGGCGTTGGATAACGTGGACATGGTGGTGAGAGTTTGTTGGTGTACGATGGAAAAAGAGTGAATATAGGAAAATAAAGAAACCTTCTTTACTACTGCGCCGGCACACTACCAATTTCCTTATCTAGTCGTGATGTCGCAATCGCATGATGGTGTCAAAAAAAGTTGTTTTTGGCATTGATGCCGAAGACGCGGACAGCGGAATCCGAGGTCGGCGGAAGCCGCGTGGGATTGGGCGTTCTTGCCCGATTGCGATCCTCCAAACACATTAAGTATACGTCGCTATGCTATCCCAAATGACAGCTTCTTGGCTGAAGAGTTCGTTCACTGATCGATTATCGCGCTCGCCAACGTCCTAAGAACGAATGTGGATCTGACGAACACCCAGCCGTCCGAACCAAGAACCCGGTAAACCGATAGTTCATCGGAATCTCATTCGATAGACGCTGCACAATCAGGCGGTGTCGTACTCATGTCGTAGTTCAAGATTATTGCTATAATAAGCTGGGAATGATTTTCCCATTGACGCATTCTCCATTTCCTGAGTTGCGCCGAATCATGTTGCCTCTCATTGGACTTGCCAAAAGGCTCAGAACAATGCCTTCGCTGCCACGCTCAATAGCCAACTCGCATCCTGCCAGCCTGCACTCACTTCTCCCGCAGCCGTTTTGCCATCTTCACCTAGCGGTGCAGGAGCACGCTGTTTCGTCAACTTATCTTTCTCCTCTTTTCTTCTTTCTTTTTCTGCTTCCATCCTCCTCTTCGCCTCTTCTGGCGTTTCACCTACCGCACCGTCCATCTCAGGTCTTCTGGCAACATCAGGATCAACGTCATCGTCTGTCGTCTCTGCCCCCTCATTTCCACCAAATAATTGAAAATTCATGACTTTATCAACAACATTGCCCAAGCCAAACCCTTCCGTCTGGCTTAATCTCGCAATCTCTTTCTCTTCTTCCTCCGTCTCTTCGCCACGCGTGTCCTCCTTCTTCACAAACCCTGGCTGCTCATCCTCCTCTGCCATAGCACCACCACCCGCATAATTGTCAAAGTACCCTACGTTCTGAGGCCGATCAGACGAGAATCTCCTTGGCGTTCTGGTGCCCACAGGACTTGCTAAGCGACTTGTCCTGTTACTAGCAGGTCGAGATCCATAGCGACTGCCCCATGCACTGCGACTTTGTCTGGTTGACACAGGACTGCCTCCTTCGTACGCGTAGCCAGAGTAGCTATATGAAGAACTTTGTTGCTGCATCTTCGCCGTACTAGCTGCAAGAGCGGCCATTTCTTCGTAATTATCATCCTCGTCATCGTCTTCTGAGTCGGTAGGCGGAGCAAGGGATGTGGATGTCTGCCGCGTTGTCATCCAACTTTGACCTTTGTCTTCACGTACTAGAGCACTGGTCATGGCACTCGTGTGTGTGAGCCAGCTATCGGCGGATAAATCGGTGTCATGGCGTTTCTGCGTAGGTGTCGCAGCTCCGCTTCTGCGACCGCGAGGGTTGTATCTGTTGTTTCGTTGCTGCGGATGTAGAGGTACGCCTGGACCAGACAGGCGGTGTGCGGCTTTCCGTGCATCCCGTTCATGTTGTTGGCCGTGTAGAGCAGCTTCACTTTTGGCTTTGGGAATCTGTCCAGAGCCAATGTCGACGCGTAGAGTATCTCTGCCTGGGCCGGAAGCATAGTTTGGGACATCGCTCTCCACATCTGCGTCCTCGCCGGTATCGTAGAGACTGCCTCTTCTGCTCAGCCCACCACCTAGATGTCTCTTGCTGTTGCTCCTGCTCAATATGCCAGGTGTGGTGGGCGCAGATTGTCCTTGTAGATAGCTCGGGTGCTTCCGGACATATTCTGCTTCGCTCTCTGCATCGTAGGGCGTTCTGAGAGGGCTTTTGACAGGCAGGTCGCCTTTAGAAGCTTCGTATTTGGTTGAGAGAGGTGCGAGTCGAAGGTTGGCGAGGTTGGTTGTTGATCTTTTGGCTCGCGAACGAGATCGCGGTGTGCTGGCTCCTGAGGCCATGCTGACTGTGTTCTGCGTTCTCAGCTGCTACGGGTTACATGCGAAGAGTTGAGAAGGCATGTACGTCGAGTTCACTTTCCAAGAGCAATGCTGCAATCATGCAGGGATCTCTCCCCACACATCTGGAGATGCTGCTTTCACAAGCCCAAGCCGAGGCCTGCGAAGCCAAACTTGGAAATTTGGGCGAGAGCTAACCTAACAATGTGTCTTTGTGATGCACGGCGACTCATTGCTGATTTGCGATCACTCATGAGATGCTACGGGAGGAAAGTGCGTTCGAGACACGCGATGGGCTGCATGCAAGTGCGTTACTGAGTGCAGATCTGCTTAGGCATCCGTGCAGAATAATATAAGGTATGCTGCCTGTAACTACATTGCAAGTAACAAGCTCTATAATCTACACTACCCCCATCCCATCTTGGCACTGAACAGACGATATGCGTCTAAAACTGCACTGGACTTCATCACGAAGTTGGAATGCCATCGTCTTTTGAAGCGGTAAAGATAGTCTGGGGGGGTTCCAAGCCGATGACGAAAAACTCATCGTTCGTCATTGCAGTGTCTTCTTGCTTGACGGCCATGGAATTTCACGATGGAGTATCTGCACTCGCGTTCGTTGTTCGAGGCGTTGTAGTAACGCTCCACGATGGTCATCGTCACCGTTCGACGCGGGCTCGCGCGGGACCCAGCTGCTGCTTGTGATCCGCATATTCCATGATAATTACTGTGGATGCAAATTCGATCACACTGACAGTTAATGACTGCTGACCATGCGGTGCGGCCCTCTCTCGGGGAAATCCAATGCGTGCAATTATACCACTTTGCACGAAATATGGGTCGAAGCAGATTGTTGCGGGTATGTTTGAAGTTTTGGGCTCGTGGGCTGTAGAAGTACTATGAAGAAGTCAGACACTGGGGAGTTGTGTAGTGTCTCTAGTCTTTGATGCCAGGATAGACAAATCGGTTTAGCACATATTGTATTGACTTATGGTGGCTTGTTTGTACGAGCTTAAACTCGCAGAGTATCGTATTCGAGCCCGTGATGTTCGCTGATGAAGACCAATGCTCATAAAGAACGAAGCTCTGAGATGAGCGAACAAGCATTCATTGACTTGCACACAGATGCACATCTGCGACGGTAGCCTTTTTGCATGAAGCAGTGGTCTGCGGTTGAAGCACGGCAGATGTGTGGTCGTGTGCCTGAGGCGATACGAGTAGTGGGCTGACGAGTCTCAGCTAGACTGGGGTCATGATTGTGGCGCGGCAGAAGCTAGAGGACGAGCAGCGCAGCCTGTTCGAGATGAAGATGTGCACGGTGCTGCGTCGCACGAGTGGCGGCCTCAATGGCGGAGACGGCGGCGACGAGTGTGAGTGGACGTGAGACGTGAGCTGGAAACAGGCTGTTGTGGGAAGCGTGCTCGCTCCGCGCGGCGTGGCTCGTGACCAGGATCTTGGTACTGCAACGTGCTTTCAAGCCGACGAGGCTTTCGCTGTTGCTATGGTGCTCTTCGCCAGCAACACACCTTCTTCCAGCGACTCGCACACTTGTGGCAACAACAAGAGCATCGTAGCATCGTATTGTCGTTCCAGTGCAGAGCATCACTGCCGCCATCCACGCCCGCCGGACAACCGCTCGAGTGCGGTGTGCAAGTTGTGTCTCGCAAACACAGCCCAGCAGCAGGAGCAGAGGCCAGGCGGGCGCTAGTACCCGCGGCGACAAGTTGAGGGCAGGTCTCATCAATCCATTTGCGACTTCCCTCCCTCACGCCCTCCCCGTCCACCGCCCCCAACAACACCACTCTCCATCATCGCCACCACAGCGCTCCGCTCTCGACCTCACTGTCCACTGCTAGCCGCCCGGCGCGCTCCTTGACCCGTCGCGCAAATGGCGGAAATCCGTCGCAAGCTCGTCATCGTTGGTGACGGTGCCTGTGGAAAGACCTGTCTCCTCATGTGAGTCTCCGGCATGCCACTGCTGCTCCCTCCTACCGCCAGCATACTGACGACTGCGCCAGCGTCTTCTCCAAGGGTACATTCCCAGAGGTTCGTCCACAACGCCCATCCCGACCCCTAATCGCCGACCGCGTCATCTCTGCCGATAAGGGCCACCATCTCCGCCAGAGCTACGACATCCTTTCCGACCGATGCATATACTGACACGGCAGCTTCTAGGTCTACGTCCCAACTGTCTTCGAGAACTATGTCGCCGATGTCGAAGTGGACGGCAAACACGTTGAACTAGCACTTTGGGATACTGCGGGCCAAGAAGACTACGATCGTCTCCGACCTCTGTCATACCCAGACTCGCATGTCATTCTCATCTGCTTCGCCATCGACTCTCCAGATTCGCTCGACAACGTCCAAGAGAAGGTATGGGGCGACTCACGTGCCTCGCACTGCGAACATGTATGCTGATTGGCTGCAATCTACAGTGGATCTCAGAGGTCCTGCACTTCTGCCAGGGCCTGCCCATCATCCTCGTTGGCTGCAAGAAGGATCTCCGATACGACCAGAAGACAATTGAAGAGCTGCACAAGACGTCGCAAAAACCAGTGACACCCGAGCAGGTAAGCGATGCAAGGACAAACGAATACCGGCGACCCACACTGACACAACCCACTCCAGGCTGAGGATGTCCGCAAGAAGATTGGTGCTCAGAAGTACCTTGAATGCTCTGCCAAGACCAACGAAGGCGTCAGGGAAGTCTTCGAGCACGCCACACGCGCTGCTCTCCTTACACGAAAGAAGAAGGAGAAGAAGTGCTCCATCTTGTAAACTACTCACCACATTGCCATACCCAGCCGAACCACTGTCTTCCGAACTGTCTTACCTACCCTGATACCTCGAGAGAAACGACGGCAAATTGCAGCTGCATTACTCGGCCTTTATAATCTGCAGAAACGACCACAAGAGAAGCGAGCGAGCGCGAACGCATGGAGGAGAGTGTCTATTTTGATGAGCCCTGTCGACGGACGGTAGGCCGGAGCACACATGTTGCGTAGATGACGCTTGGAGTGAGGGCCCTGGAGCAAGCGAACAGGACGTGTAAAGGGCCCGAGGGAGCGGGCAGTCCAGCTGGCCGAACCCTCGTTTACAGGTCAGCAGCGGGAGTTCTTTAGAGTCATATCATGGCAATACTGTGCTGGCGTTACTACCAGGGAAATTGAATGCTGTTTTCTACCACTGACCGCCTCCTCTTACTTTCACATCATCACCACTAATCAGGAAACCACGTATTGGTGGGAGCAGATGATGAGATCAGATCCCACGTTGTGCTTGACTCAGGCAAGGTGGAGGATCTGATCATGTGCACAAGGAACAAGCGCACTTTCCGCGCGTTATTTGACAGACCTGAAGTGACAGGCGAATAAGACGGGCACAACCGAGCACGTTCTGAGACCCATTCCGCGTTTGCAGTCCAATATGCGGGAGAAGAGAATGCATGATCTGGACACAAGCGCACTTATTTGCGGCCGGAGCAAGCACATGCTTTCTTGAGAGCTGCCGCGTGCTTGATCAGTTGAACGGGCAGTGAGCTCAATGATGCCCTCAAATACACCGAATACCACCCATGCCGTGACTGAACATGTTTCTTTGCTATAACAATTAGTCTACCAACACCATTTCTGTGGGTACAACTGCAGGTGGCGCTCGATCACATGCTGCAACAGTGTATATGCGAGCGAATCCTTCAACGCCGGACGGCGAGCACCTGGACAAAGACCTCGTTCTTCCACCGACGACAGCATCGAAGCAAAGTCAAACGCTTGCCTGATAGTTATGCAACTCTCGCTGTCACGTTTTCTTGCGTCAACAAGCCCGGCGGAACGCATGACACGCATCGATTCCAACACTAATCACTCCACGATCAGGTACGGTGAGCTCGTAGGGCTGAGACACTCTGGACGTTCTAGAGCGGGAGTCGCTCAGAAGCAGGCTCTCGGATCCATCGATTCGTGGGAGCGCCAGCCGCGGAGCGAGGGAAGACAACCACGCGGCCGTGAAGAAGGGTTGCCAGCATCACACCGTCCCGTACACAGGGCATCGGTGATCCTGCTTGTGAAAGCCGACTTGATCTGGAAAATCCGCACGCTTCCGCGTCCGCGACGCATCTGGCATTGACGTCCATACGACCGCTTCCTCGGATTGCGTCAAAGGGACCAGGAAAGTGGATCGTCCACCGCGTATTTCCTACTTCGACCAGATCTTGTCCGTCGCGACAGAGTGCTTCGACCAGGCGATTGCCTTTTGCTGCCTTGCACGCGACCGAGCTACGTTGACGTTCGAAAGTCAAGCTGGAGTGAAATTTCAGGCGACATCCTGGAACGTTCCCTGACGACACTCCCGCGAGAGCGTGCCTTCAGTAATCAGCAGTGGGTGAGCGGGCTAGCGGTGGTAGTGGCATTAACAGATTGATTCACTACTACCGCGCGGGTTGGTAGCGGGCGACTAGTCCGCGAAGGCGCCCACCGCACGGCTCACTCCGAAAAACGCATTACCAGAGTCGCGAGTGGACGACATCGCAAAGTCTACGTGCACCGCGCGCCAGGAACGCAGAGCACACGCACCAGACTGCCATTTCGACCATCTGCGCACAGCAGGAAGTGCTGGAGCAGCCCTTCGCCTTCCTCCTTCGCTCCTCCACCTCGTCTCGATCGACCACCGATACCACCACCGTCGCTTCCCTGCCTCGACGGCATCACGCGAGCCTCATACATCTCCAACACGACAACTCGGTGAAGGGACGCCTCGCGTACACACCACAATAACTCTCGTCATCATGGCTCTTCCTATAGCTTGACCACAGCTCCCGAAGGTGAGTTGCGGACTTGTTCCACTCGACACGTGCCCGCCTCTCATTGATCGCTCGACGGGGCGGGGCGGGGTGAAGAGTGGTGAATGGCGATGGACGTGTGGCCTTCAGTGAACAGCATTACTGATTGTCCTCAGGGCGGCATCAACCGACCTTTTGAGACCTTGACCTCAAGTGTCCTCAAACAGTCACCTCGCGCATACATATACCACACCCATTCATCAGAAACCGCATACACTAAAGTCATCGATCCCGCGGTATAGAACACCGAGCACTCGACCTGCCCGAACGAGATCGCCGTCTATAAAACGTTCGCTCCATCGGCAAGACCGACACCCAGATACCAAGACATGCCATATCTGCGCGACAGCTTTCTCAGCGCGGTGGATCTCGCAGCAACGGTGTCCGCCTCGGACGAGTCTACAAATCACGACAGCTCCAAGATGAGCGCCAGAAAGGAGAAGTCTTCTGCCACGTGCCAAGCCAAAGGAGAGGTGGAGGGTACAGGCAATGCATGGGAGGGTGTTCCGACTACCTCGTCACAACCACCAACACCGCCAGAGTCGCGCTCGCCAACGCCTCGAGTGACTTTGATGCCATGTCCTGTGCGGCTACTACCCCTCGTGCCAGCACCCAACTATGGCACTGTGGTCGACAACACCATGTACCGCAGTGCATTCCCACAAGCTCGCAACATCGAGTTTATGGAGACGTTGAAGCTCAAATCAATACTCACCCTTGTCACCAAGACAGAATCCTGTGAGCACTACGACCAATTTGTCTGGCAACATGGCATCAACAGAAAGATTCTTGATGTCGAACCCAACAAGGAGGGCAAAGTTAAGACCAACTTCGACACTCTCTGCGACGCCGTGCTTTTCGCCCTGAATCCAATGCACCACCCCGTGTATATCCATTGCAACCAAGGCCGCCACCGCACCGGGTGTGTCGTCGCTTGCATCCGCAAGATTCAGCAGTGGCCGATGGACGAAATTCTCCTTGAATACAGGACTTACGCCGACCCGAAACCGCGCGATGGCGACATTGAACTGATCAAGAGCTTCGACCCGGAGCTTGTTCACCAGTACGGTCGGCGTCACGGTCTCCTCAAGGGCTTCAAGGGAGACAGTCGAGAGCGCGTCGATTCATTCAATAGCGTCTACGAATTGGCTAGCTCTTTGCCGTCGCATAACACTGCTTCGATCTGCAGCAGCGATTCAAGCCAGACAAGCGACGCCAGCGACAAGTCCGATGGCCCTTTCCTCATTGCCAGAAGATATTTATCTGGTGAAACCCTGCCCCAGGCTGGTGATGGGGTTAGTTCGAGTCTTGGGCGAGACTCGCGTGAACTCGATTCTGATATCGTGGTCCATGGATTCGACGCGGACAAAAACTTGGTGGATACATTGATGACGGACAGTGGTGATAGTGAACAATGTCTGGACATTCCCGATGTTCAGGTGGTCTCAACATCTGCCACCACTCCTCCTATCGCTATTCGAGGCCGCTCATAGGAGAGTCCGATAGCGGAGTCACCAGAATCAAGCTTCGGATCGCCTTCGGCTGGACTTGATTGCGACTTGTTGCCAATCGATCTCGAGGGACAAGCACCTTGCCGACACTCAGGATCCTCAGCATGGTCCCCACGAGGCTACGCGCACTCCCCTTGAACGACAGAGCGACAGGATTCACTGGGCTGTGTTTCTTCTGGCGATGACCAAAATAATCGGAATATTTCCTTTGTCTACTTGGGTTCAGCCACTCCTCTCTGCTCTCTCTGGCGAGCTTGATGGAGTTCGGCTTTTTTGGATTTAGCGAAGGCGCTGGTGGTTCAGTCCAAGTAAAAGATTTCGCCTCCCTCGATATGGGTAATTTTGCATTAGAGAAAGAATACGGAACGGCACCATGCTGCGCTGCTGCTGCAAGGGCAAAAGAAAGTCGCTTGGTTTCAGAGGTGGAAATGAAGTGGATAGTTGAATGAGTATACATCTCAATGATACTGCTGCTGCTACTGCTATCGATGCTTTTATCGTTAACCTTCTTCCAATTGTGAAGATAGATGATCCTCGGACCTTGCTTCGAGGCATTGTAGCGTGTACAGTGCACCTTCTTCTCACGGGAAGCTTGAGCAGTGAAGAACCTTGTTGTGGGATTCTACGCGAGAAAGGCTAGACTGCCATAAGGCTCATATGGCATGTGCGGGCAGATTTCTAGGCTCGCCAATGCGGCTGCCAGCATATAATCGTTGTCTAGATGCTTCGCTATTCATTGACACGTAGGTCGCCAGATCTGTCCTACACGTACCCAGGTGTACCTGTGCTTGTGTGCCTGCTCGAACGCAGCTGCGGTCATATGCATGCATGTGACAAGACCAGAAGGAGCACGACTGATACTGTAGTGGATCATCGTCGGAGCTGCAGCGCGTGCTTGTCGGCTGCTGCCTTCCAGCCTGTAGGGCCGTCTTGCATATACTATAGCTTACTACTCACCGCATCGATCGCACGAGGACACGCAGGCTTTATCGAGACTTCTCGCAGGCTTGATCAAGACTTCTGCTCGTCATGGTGTATATTGTGGGTTTCATGTTGTGCTGTTCATGTTTCTTCTTGTCAACAATTATCTTCAGCAAGTGTGCGGCGAAGCAGAAAGTGGAGACCCAGGATCGTGATCGTGCATCCGCTTGTGCATGCAGAATTGGGTCATATTTCAATATATCTTTGTGCTTTGGATTTGGAAGCTATGTATGCAATAGGCCTGTCGGTTACTTATGTGTGGCTGTGCTGTGGTGCTAGACAAGGGGATTGCAGTGGAGTGGGAACTCTTTTCAGGCTGAAATGTCGTATGATCTTTTGACGATCTTTGGAGAGTTGGGAATGATAGGGCGAGTAGAGGCTGGGCTTGTTTCACAAGATGGGGTTCTTTCGGGACTTTCTTGGAGTTGAAGTCATCGTCGTCTTTGCTTTGGACATACACTCTATCGTATGTTCGCCTCACGCCTCTTCTGCAGAAGAAAATCTCGTCACGGCTCGTCCTCGTTTNTGCTGTGTAACGCGACTTTCTCTGGTAACTGGGATCGAGCACGCCAAACTCGAACAGGAAGGTGACGCGGAGTAGGAGTTATGCCCGTCAGCGTGCAGAAGATGGAATGGTGTTGGTTTCGAAGAGGATTTGGTGTTGATAGTGGGCCCCCATGAGCTGCGTAGAGACGGCGAAGTTCATGCGGGAATCGCCGAAAAATGTGGAGGTCCGTTTCTTCCTTTGGCTTGCGGGGAGGTTACATCGTCCTTGAGAGTGGAGAAGGCTGGCGTGGCTGGGGTCTTTGGAGGTGTGCTGTATCAGCTTCGGCTTTTTGGTTTCGGGCTTCTGCGCATTTCTTGCCATGCAGACGATAGGTTGATGTTCGGGGCCATTGGAAAGTGCTGTCCATATGATTATCGCTGTAGCTCTGTTCACCGTTGTGGAGCTGTTTGACGAGGAGCAATTATGGATCGCTATCGATTCGCGTAATCCTTCTGGGAATTCTGCCATCTGCCGCTAGGCATGCCAAGCGACACTCTGGACCCATCATCACATGTGATTGTTCGCCAGCTCTGCTTTCTTCAGACGTCGTGGCTGTTGGGTCAAGCTTCTGTTCAGAAGATGCGATTATGTGGTCCGAGGCATCACGTCGTGCAAGCTCCCGCGGACCTACGGGAAGTGCGCCCAGTCTAACCCGATAAAGTAATGGGGCAGGCCTCGCGTGGTGTAGGCTGCATATCTGCAGAAGCAGAAGCACGTTGTCGAAGCCTCTCCGCTGAGCTGAAAGCGGGTGAAAACTGGCGAGCGACGCAGTGCTGGTGCAAACCGTATTTGCATAGCAAGGGAGGGGCGTTCGTAAGCTGAGTGGCTGGCTGAGTCTATGACTTGATCATCGATGGCATCCGAGGGAGCGTCGACACAGTCAGGCGGGCAGAAGTCTGTTTCGCTGGAAGAGGCCTCATTCATCTGAAGAAGGATGTCTCTCCGAGAATTGGCGGCAGAGTAAGAGGTGGCCGCTGTGCCGCGCGTTCTGCGCAGTTCTGACGATGAGCTTCTTCGTAAGCCGGAGCTGCTGTGCTGATAGCGACACTGCGCAACGTTGCCACTAGAGTACGGCGACCCATTGGCCTGTGCTCTGAGAGATACCCAAGCATTGTTAAGCATGCCGGGGACAGGTCACTTGTAGCAGACCAGCAGCCCAAGTGCATTGTCGCACAAGGGGAGCTTCCGGAGCAGCTCCTTCAGCAGTCAGGAATAAGTGAATAGATGACGTGCACCTTTCACAAGTTGCCTTGGCCTTGACCTGCTTTCCTGCCCGCCGCTGGAGGCGGCATGCGGATGCCATACCCTTGCTGAGGCCTTGACTTCACTTCGTCGATTCTACCCTTTGCAAGGCTGATTCCAGGTACTACCCAGTCGCCGCAGCTGCACTGCATACCTTGCCATGCGTACTTGCCCACGTTGGTCTTGCACTTGGGACACTCGAGGCGTCCATCCAGTTTACCCTGCTCTAGCTCTGGCCTCATCCAGGACAGTGGGTCCAGGAAGTAGTGTGCGCAAGCTGTTGATGTGGTCATTCGATCGGGTGGCGTCCCGGACTGCTGATCTTGCTGTGATTTGTGACTGACGATGTATTGCGAGGTGGCCAAAGTTCGTCTGTTCAAGTCAATACCTCTAGCACTGGGATTGGGTTCCTGCTCACTTACCTGCACTTTTTGCATCTCATCTCAAAGTCTGAAGTACCAGTCCCAGAAGAGTGCTCGTCCTCGAAACGAATCTTTTCTGCTTCGGGGGCTTGACCGCATGCTCGACTTAAGGCGACCTCCTGCAGATACAGCCAACGCTGATAGGCTGGGACTTCTTCTATGTTTTCAGGTCGTCCCATATCGTGGTAAAGCTGCAGCTGTTGCCAGAACCCATCGTTCGGCTCACAAAGCGGTCTGCTCACACGCAGCTGTGCCAAGGCCTCATCCGGACTGAGTCCGTACTTGTGCATGAGGTAAGCACATACGCATGTTGCAGAACGGGACTTGCCCATTGCACTGCATTACCAGGTGTCAGTATGAATGATATTGAGTGGGATGTTTCTAAGGGTAGGATGAGAAAGTGCCGCAGGTGGCACGTTCATGCGTGACTGCGTCGAGCCAGCGAAGTGGTACATGAGAATCATGTTGTACGAGCGTTGCACTCAGCCACAAACCTTGCTTGCTCTTCATGCGGAAGGTGGACTACTGGATAGCTGAGCGGCAAAGGATGGAACTTACCAATGCACGAGCACGCCTCCGCCTGCATCGAGTCCAGCCTGAATGAACTTGTTGCAGTCTTCGAAATGCTCCAGCAAGTTTTCGTCGTCGACATCGTCGACCTCTACTACCTTGTGCTGGTAGTCCTCGAACAAGGATTCCTCCAGCGGTAGTCGGAGTACAGAGAGGACGTGCGTGATGTTCGATGCCTGTAGCGCTTCTTTGCGGCGTAGAGTGAAGAGCCTGGCACAGATCAGAGTCTAGACGTGGCGACGCAGACGGCGGGCGCGCGGCAGGAGCTGTGGACGCACCCGCCAATGTACAACTCGAGATCGCCATGCACTTTGTCGAGAAGCGGCATCTTGGCGGCGGTGCTGTATGTGAATCGGAGATGGGCGACCTTGGTGGTGTGGTGGTGGACAGTGTGCAACGACGCTGCTGGACAAGGATGTGGCGGCTAAAAGTTTTGATCGATGACGCTAGTCCTCATAGGGCGGAGAGGTGAAGAGCGAGCAAGATGAGATGAGATATGACAACAGTGCTACAGAGGGCAGCCCGTAAGGCGTCCCGCCAAGGACAGTGGCAGATACACACTGTCAGCAATACGACAGAGCATGTGCGTCTTTGGCAGAGCTGGCGTAGCTGATGGCACACATTGCTTGCCTTTTTCCTTTTCCTTCCCCACGTTCACGCACAGCCAAAGGCCTCGGGTCCGGTGGATGCATCGCTGCTGCCGGAGGACTTGCATGTGGCACCAAGCTACATACATACATACTCACAGGCGGCCGCGTCCGCGGATGATGCCAAGCTCACTACTGGCTACAATTGTCGCTGCAGTAGGAGTGGATCACGGAGCCGTCGACCAGCCACCTCAGAGGCAATGATGTGCTCCCCACTACTGTATACTCTGCTGGTATAAGACCCCCCCTGCACTGCATTGCTGCCAGTGAGAGCAGAGTCCAGCGCACGCGGCGCCAACCCTCGGCAGATTCGGTGCAAGCATGTTCTGCGTAGATTCAATAGCCGGGTCTAAGACCAAGCCTCAGCTGGCGGATACAGTAGTCGAAGTTTGCGAGCAGCAACTAAAGTTAGGTGCTGCACCCTATATCACCAGTTCATCCATTTTTCCGTGCTGCTTCGCGATGGTTACGAGCGTATGCAGCAACGGTGGCATCGAGGCCCGCAACAATACAGTAGCAAACCTTGCTGGGCCGCCGACAGCCCTATTTCGTGCGTGCAGGAGGCGAGCAGCGAACAGGCGGTAAACATCCCGCGTTGCATGCGGCTCAAGCAAGACGTGTGGACTGCATGCAGCGACGGCGGCCATGTCGCTTTGCCGGCAGCAGGGTCCCTGGTGCATCGAGAATTGTCACACCAGAAAGCACACGTCGAGTCGAGTGCTTGCGCAGCGTCACGCAGCAGACGCGCGATTTGGACAACGCTCGCTCATGCTCGACAGTATACACTTCCCTAGCCGCGTAGGGCGTCTTCTTGCTTTGGCCGGAACAGGGCCTGCAGGGCCTAGCTCACACCTTGTTCGTGCGCTGCAATTCCTTAAGGCGTCGGCGTACAGCCGTGCCCGTGCTGCCCATCGCCCTCTTCCTGTGTAACCTGACGACCATCCTGTACAGCATCTCCCGCTCCGGGCCGACGAGCACGACGACCTTTTGCCAGCAACTCCCTCAGCGCAGAGAGGGCATTGCACCAGCGAAGCAGAGCTGTGCGGGAGGCGTCTTCCTTGCCTGGCGGCCCTGGTCCAGGCTACAGTAGCCGCAGCTCCAACGGGGGCGCACTTGTGGCTGTGCTGAGAGGGTATTTCGAGACGGTCAGCAGCAAGGCGGGCATCCACTCAGCAGACCACTCATCCCTTCATCGCGCATGGCTTGGGACTCGCGGTAGGGCTGACGGAGCGAATCAGTGCGCGCTCCAACCGCTGGCGCACCTGCCGCATCGCATCGGCCCTTTGCACCTGCTGCTGCTGCTGTTGCGCTGCTGCTGCTGCTCAGCTCGCACGCCCGGCCGGCATTTTGCACGTTGCACTGTGGCCCATTGCTCGTTGCAAGCCGCTCCGAGCTGTGACGGCGTGCACGCGCTTGACAGGACGCCGCTTGCCACACGCACTGCCGTCGGTGCATTTGAAGGCCTGACCTGACCTGATCTGACCCTCGACAACCCACGATCCCACGGATGGTGGAGCTTGGGTGCTAGCAGCGTGTGCCGCCCATGAGCCCGCAATCAACATGTCTGGCATACCGGACATTCACCTCAACCACGAACGCTTCCACAGCCCGCCACGCTTCCACCGCGGCCCAGCGCCCATGGCAATCCCGCGAGCGCAAGAGCAGCACGTCCCGCCGCCATTGCCTCCGCCATCCTTCCTCTCCATCTCGCCCAACCACGACCCAGGCTGGCAGTGGGGCAACGATCCGAATGGCTCTGACTTTGGACGACCAGCTTCAGTCAAGCCCGGCAGCAGTCTGCTAGGTGGGGCACCGGCGAGGACGTTTGGTGGCAGGGCGGAGAAAGAGAACGATGCTGCATACCACCACCACATCGATTGGGCGCGTCGCGGGAGCTCCATCTCAACGGCGACCACCTCGACCGTTACGGGCAACATCAACGACATGGCAGAAAGTGGGAGCTTGACGCCCAGCGACGATGGCAGCATGTCACGGCCAACGTCAAACTACAGGTGCGTTCGTTCGTCTTCTCTTTATTCACGCGTTGCATGCGTTCTGGGGAAGAGGCTGGTGCATCCGCCGTGACCTGACCCGGTCTTTTTTGTCTCGAGCTTCTCCAGCCCTATGTGCTTGACAACCATGTTTCATTTCCATGCACAACACGGTCACCGTCCAACAGCCAGTGAAACTGGTGACATCGCTCGCCACGCGGCTGCTTCGTTGCACCGTCAATTCGCAGTGCGGTTCCGACGCAGCCACGGGTGGTGGCGATCGAAGAAGCGCATTCGCACTAGTTAGGACTGGGCGGAGATCTTGGATGCGGCGTCGCCGAATCTGGATGTTGAACAAATGTGCTTGGCTCTGGGTGCGACGGCACAGCCGAAGCCTCGAATCGTGGAAACCAACCACATACCAAGAACGGATCGACTGCAGCTGACTGGACGATGCTTTCTTTGCATGTCACCAAAGTTTACATTGCAACGTCTTCTGCGTCCTTCAGTCACTCTTGCACGGCACAATGCTAATGTTCGACAACTACAGGCTCCATGGCGAGAGACACCTCGAACAGCGCACGCTGGAAGCATCATCAAACACTTATGACAAGCAGCTACTGAGCCGCATTGGAGGTCCCAATGGCCCGCCGACACCGAAGCGGACGTCGCTTTCTTACTCCAGCGGGAATGCACAGGAGACTGCACAGCTAGCCCACGCAGAGAGCGAGCGTCGAAATTCTCAGCTGCTGCGTCCGCTCTCCATGCCCGAACGGCAGCAGCAACAGAGTTCGTTGGATTCCCCCGCTAGCTCGCGTTGGCCATCCTCCGGCGCAGTGTCTCCAGGGTTCACCGGCTTCTGGCCTGAGGGTGGCCCGACAGAGCACAGCCGTTTCCAGCCTTCACGACATAGCAGTATCACATTCGAGGACAGCATATCGCAACGAGGGAGCTACGATGCGTCTATGTATGCACAAGAAGACTTTGTGGAAGATAGCCACATGCGCGATCTCCACATCCAGGACCGTCTTGATCGAAGTCCCGGGTCCGATGCACGCGGACAAAAACGTCGTGCATCATCACCACCGCGAGACCTCTCCCGGGAGGATCGCTCTTCGGTGAGCAGTGCTTCTACGCACAGTGAGGCTGCTCAGCGGCGAAACTTGTTTCACCAGCCACGAATATCGCCCATCTCCAGACTTCATCCGAATAACTCGTCAATATCCTCCGCCTCATCGTATGGCCCAAGGCATGGTTCCCTAGGATCATCCCTTGGTGGACTCAGCATACCAAGCACTGCTGCGACTAGCTACTCCTCAGGCCGCATTTCGCCGGGTGGGCTGTCTCCTGCTTTTGACCCCACCGATTCCAGGTTCAGTGCACAGTTCAAAGGGCTCAGTCCGAACTCAGCCATTGCTGCTCCTCATCAGAGAACACTTTCGCAAAGCTCGCAAGGTCCACAACCGATCGCCTCAGCTGACAGTGCACCCCAATCACGCCATCATTCGGTGTCTCAAATCCACGGAGTATACATCTGCGAATGCTGTCCGAAAAAGCCGAAGAAGTTCGACACAGAAGACGAGCTACGCTTGCATGAATCGGAAAAACAGTACACATGTGCTTACTGTCCGAACAGGTGAGATGGCCCAGACAAGCTCAATGTACAGGATTGCTGACTTGTGATTCGCCAGGTTCAAAAACAAGAACGAAGCGGAGAGACATCAGAACTCCCTGCACCTGCGACGTCACAGTTGGTCGTGTGCTGCTCTCGCCGGTGTCGAGGCGGCCTTTCACGCCTCGTCCGCTGGCAGCGGACATGATGTGTGCGGATACTGTGGCGAGGAATTTCCCAACCCACCACAGTGGGATCTGCGGGCCGAGCATCTCAACCATGTGCACAAATTTGGCGAGTGCAACCAGGCGAAGAAGTTCTTCCGGGTAAGTAGATTGGTATCCTGGTACTGACCGGCTGAACTGACATATTTAGGCTGACCATTTCCGACAACACTTGAAGCATAGCCACCAAGGCACCTCAGGTGTGTATCGACTTGTCACTTCAACACAACCAGCGCTAACGGTCACAGGGAAATGGACAAACATGCTCGAGCTGGCATGTATGAAAGACGAACCACTCCCCGAGAAGCGTGTTACGCAATCCAGCCAGGCTGCGCCGCCCGCAGTACTGGTCTCTGCGAATGGCAGCCCGCCCAGCACTCAGCCAGCCAATACGACAGGAGTGGCGTCCGTGGAACCAAGCTGAAGTACACACAACACCACGCCGATGGAATGAAACACTTGAGATTCGAAGAGCCTTGCAGCAGCAAGCCAGCCTTGACCACGAGATCATCAACACGAGCAAGTTTTCGGATGATCGCGTATAGTCTGTCTGCCACTCCGAGAGCTCACTCGAGTACGAGCTCTACTTTGCTCGGGTACGGTGATAGGACCGAACAACAAGACAGACCTCTATAGCTCGAACTCGTGGGACAAATCAGCTGCGAAGTCAAGCGCCTCAATCCCACGATCGGGAGCTTGCCCACATCCATTATGGTCACAAGTGCTCGAGTCGCCAGCAGCTTGTAACCGTGAGCTCAAAAATTTGGCTCACGATGGCAATTTGCGTCGTCAATTGCGAGAGCCTCGCGGCGGACACGCACCGTGATGCCGTCAGCTGCTCTTGGCAGGCTGACTTGCAGCGTCCAAACGACAAACGGTTCAGCCACGTCCGGTGCTTACGATCCTTGCTCGTAGTCACGAGACTTGGGAGTACAAACTTGGACACCCTTTGTGGCGGCTGATGTTTTGCGCAATGCAATCATACTTGACCTGAGTCAATGGCGTACCGGAGAGGTAGAGGAGGAGGAACTCTGGCCTCGTAGCTTTGACCATCAGGATTGCTGCTGCTGCTGCTGCCTTAGCGCTGACATTTCGAAAGCGGGAAGGATCGATGAGACTTTCTCTCGCTCGCGTGAACGGGTGGAGGCACGAAGGAAGAGTTTTGGGTTACACGGGTGATGGGTAGATGTACGTAAGCAAGGCAATGCAAGCAGAAACAATGCATAGATGCGTGAGCACGCAGTTTCGGGGCCTTTGTTATTTCCATCTGTATAAGCTGCGAACTGCATACTGAATTGGGTAGTCGGTGAGCTTTCTGACGTGCATGGAAGTGCCGCTGGTTGCTGCTGCTACCTTCGCTGCAACTGCTTGTGCTGCTGCTAATGCTAATGCTACTGTTGCTGCATATCAGGCGTGCTGCAGAGTGTGGTCTGCGGGTATCACCGACGATGATGGCAACGAGAGGTGTGGAAGAGCGATTTCTTGGTAATGGTATGGTCGTCTCATGTTGCTATACGCGCGAGCTCTTGGGAGCCAAGAGATTGTATGCATGCACGTTTGCGTTGCTTTCACGCCTTGCTTGCAGTTCGGCGTCGGAGCTTCTGTCCGGCGGTGAGGCGCGTTTTGTGGTTTTTGGTACCGGAGAATGTTTGTGGAGAGGATGTGGGGATAGATGGGCGGTTCCATGTGGCTGTTTGTGATGTTGGATTGTGCATGATTCAGTATTGTTAGCTTGTGTCGGATGTCTTTGTAGGGTTCGGCGTTGCTGGCTTGGTGTTCGACTCAGGTTTGTGGTGATTTGAATGTGGCAGGGGATCTATGACTTGTGAGAGAATTTCACACAGCAGATCGATATTTCGGCAGAGGTGGAAGGACCATGGCAGTCCAAACAATCCACTCGCGCGATACGACTTTTGACGTGACGTGAAGTTGTTCTTTTGTGGAGAGATCGATTTGCCTACGCCCGTTATGCATTTAGATGGAATCTTCCGAATCTACACATGATTCTCCCAAGATTGCATGGTAAAGCCCCATCAGAGATAGCCCCCATGAACATGTTCCCTCATGCGCCGCAACGCAATGCTTCCAAGTCGATTTGAGGCCGATGATGGTATTTCTACCTCGGTGCCTCAAATAGCTAGCATCGCGCCGAAGGCGAGGAGTGCGCTCATGCCGAGCACGTCCATGCCCAATCTCACGCTTGAAGCAGCGCCTGTGGATTCAGCAGTGCTGCCGCTGTTGGTGGCAGATGGGTTGTTGGCGTTTGAGCCTAGAAGGGAAGGTGCAAGTTAGCTGGGCAAGTCATGCAACGAGGAGAAAGGATTCATGGAACTCACCATATGTCGTGCTGCTTCCACTGCCGCCAGTCTCTGAAGCAGAGCTGCCACTGCCAGATCTGGTCGCAGTAGGCGACGAAGACTCAGTCGAGGTGGAGTCCTTGTCATCGTCGTCTTTATCGGAGAATGTGACCTCCTCGCCATTTGTCTTGCAGATATCTGCGAAGTAATCCTGCGCGGTCTTGAGGTTGTCCCCGCAGTTGTCGGAGAGGTATGAGAGGGCTTTCTCGGAGCTGCAGATGGTCTTGAAGTCTGATGGGTCAGACTCCGTGCTGCAGAAAGTATTAGTTCATACGTTCCTCTTTACACTGTCCTTACAGCCCATTCGCGACCATGCTACGAGTCTTTCCTCGCCCAATACTGGTATCCCACTCTCTTCTAATCTTCCCAGGATCGCGCTTACTTGACTGCTGCAATCACGCATGCTGGAGGCTGTGCTGCAACCGCGACCTGCGCGGCAACAGACAGAAGGGCAAGGACAGCGGTGGACTTGACAAACATGTTCGCCGATTATCGCGTCGTCGTAGTAGGTTCGAAGGGTGGTGTTTCGTCTCGTGAGCTCAAGGTTTGGAGTAGGTGCAACCTGAAAAGAATGGCAGGCGCAATCGAAGAGGATCGTAAGGAACGTGGGTGAGAGAATGGCAGCACAAATGCTGGGAGAGTGTATGGCGGGTATAGTAGTGAAGTGGTCGTTACGTCGTTTGGTTGTGATCTTCTGCACCAAGAGACGGCGAAAGGGGCTTGGTACTCTGGGGCGCATGGACCCCACGGCCTGCAGGGCTCGCGCCTGCACGTGCTGCGGGCACAGATCTCTCTCTTTCATCCTCGCGACGACTTCGCTTCTCACGCTGACACACTTGCCATTTCCCTTCGCAGAGTCATCGAGCATGATATCGAAATGAGAATGTCGACATGGCAAAATCAAGACTTCTCTCTCCGGGACACGTCGCACGACAGTAACAGTGACACTGCAAAGCGAGTATCTGCAGCCGCTCCTGCAGCCACAGTCGCGAGCTGTGCGGCCTCAAGGCAGAGACGGTAGGTTTGGGCTGTGCTGCGATCGTCGCAATGTTCTCCTCTGGTGATGGCTGTGTCTGGCTGCGAGTCTGCTCGCTCGTGTGTACTGATATGCAGATAAACACCCATGTTCTCCCACAACATGTGCCCCCAATCGCTATACCGCCCTGTGCAATTGGCATCTAGCGAAGCATGCCATGGCTGCAGCTCCTCCTCCGTCTAGTGGCTCGGCGCAAGGCTGCTTCACT